AGTCCAGTTACAAATAGTGATATTTTAAATTGTATTAATGGGTCAACCTTAAAAACATGCGACCTTGACCCAATGCCTGCTCATGTACTCATAACATGTATTGATATTGTCCTACCTCACATTACTCAGATAGTGAATATGTCACTTGCCACTGGCACAGTACCCAATACTTTCAAACAAGCTATTGTAAAACCTTTATTGAAAAAACGCGGGCTTGATAAAAATGAATTAAAAAACTATCGACCAGTTTCAAATTTGCAATTTGTCTAAAAAATTCTAGAGAAGATTGTTTTAAGTCAAGTTTTGTCTCACATGAGAAAAAATGGTCTTGAGGAAATTTACCAATCTGCCTATAAAACTCATCATAGTACCGAAACTGCGCTTTTAAAAGTAACGTCTGATTTATTGGATTCCATTGATAGCAAAAACATATGTCTTTTAACTCTTTTGGATCTGTCCGCAGCTTTTGACACAATTGACCATGCTATTCTACTCACAAGACTTGAGCGCTCATTTGGCTTATCGGGTACTGTGCTTTCATGGTTTAAGTCATATTTACTAGAAAGAGTTCAGTCAGTGCAAATTAAAAATAGCTTTTCAAAGCAGGTCAGGCTCGATTATGGAGTTCCACAGGGGTCCGTTCTTGGACCAGTGCTCTTTACACTATATACACAGCCCTTAGCAAGCATTTTACAAAATCATGGATTGAATTATCATTTTTATGCCGATGATTCCCAAATGTATGTTAATGGCACCATTCAAGATCTACCAAACATGATTTCCATCACTAAACAATGTTTTTATGAAATCAAAAAGTGGATGACAGTAAACAAATTGAAACTAAACGAAGAAAAGACAGACATCATTCTTATAAAAAATCCACGATTAAATAAAGATCTGGAAAGTGTCAACTTTGATTTATATGGGCATATGACATCTAGTAAAGAAGTTGTCAGGAATCTCGGTGTTTATATTGACCACCACTTATCAATGGGCTCGTTTGTAGGATCTCTGTCCAAATCCCTTTATTTTCAGCTGAGAAGGATAGGCCTAGTTCGAAAGTACTTAAACGAAGAGACCACAAAAACACTGGTAACATCTCTTATCCTATCTAGATTAGACTATTGTAACTCACTCCTAGCAGGTCTGAACAACAAATATTTGAATCGTTTACAAGTAATTCAAAACAATGCCGCTAGACTGATAACAATATCTAAAAAACGAGACCATGTCACTCCATTATTAAAAGAACTGCATTGGCTCCCTGTAAAAGAACGAATAATATTTAAAATCTGCGTCATGTGTTTCAAATGTGTAAATAAAACTGCTCCTTTTTATCTTCAGGAACTTATCAGTATATATAAACCAGGGAGAAACCTAAGATCATCAAACGATAACACCCTACTTGTGACACCTGTAAAATCATACAAATCATATGGAGAGAGATCTTTCTCATATCTTGGTCCATTTATGTGGAACAGATTACCCATGAAACTAAGACAAATAAGAACTCTTGATAGCTTCAAAAGACATCTTAAACATTTTCTGTTCCTACAGGCCTATCCTTCATAAGCTTTTAACGTTATCTTTCATTATATTTGTTCTGTTCCTATGTCTGGATGAAAATACTCTCTCTCTCTCTCTCTCTCTCTCTCTCTCTCTCTCTCTCTCTCTCTCTCTCTCTCTCTCTCTCTCTCTCTCTCTCTCTCTCTCTCTCTCTCTGTGTGTGTGTGTGTGTGTGTGTGTGTGTGTGTGTGTGTGTGTGTGTGTGTATGTGTGTGTGTGTGTGCATTAATGTATATTGCTTGAGAAGAAAGGAAGTAGTAAGAAAGGTTTGTGAAAAATGGGTATTCCAATGTAAAGCGCATTGAGCTAATTTTTTGGAAATGCGCTATATAAATGTTATATATTATTATTAAAGGGTCTTTTTTCGCTTACCGAAAGATGAAAATTTTCTTTAGAAAATAGACCAACTTGACTTAACAGAATTTTTCAAATGAGGAGAGATCGATATGGGGCCGGTGGCCGTTTTTAAGAGTGGCATCATCAAACTTACAATTACACTTACGGGCTACTGCTGATTCATCTTTTGACAAAGTGCATCTCTAGGGAGTAGACGTACCCTGATTTTCTCTTGCAAACTTGACTTCGTTTGAATCCTTCCTTTGTGGGTTTATCCTTCAGATAAACCTTGAATCAAGAGCGGCCTTTGAAATAGGCCTTAGTTTCATCAATTTAAAAAAAACCCTTTTCTTTACATTATACCATTATTCAGCAGAAAGATGAGTGCAAGCATGGGCTTCCCGGTCAGTGGTCATAGAGTGTCAGTATCTTGAGTACACCCATTTGAAGGAAAATAGATAACAAAAAATCATTCCATTTTTACAAGTTTATCTGGTTTCCTGGGAAAGCAACGTAAACGATTTGCCAAGGTTTGCAGATCTTTGCCATTGATCCATTTCCCATGTTATCATTTTGTGTCAGTTTTATAAAAGTTTATCAACTCCTTTGTAATGGTCGGTAAGTAAATATCTGATACAAACGGTTATTTGGGTTTTGAGACTTTGATTCCATCGAGTAGGCCTACCAGTAAACTGAGAAACGCAGGGAAAGACGTTTGTGTTTCGAGCCCACAGCTTTTTATCTTCTCATCCCTATACTTCTTCTAGTTCATCTTTCATTTAGCTTGAATTCTTATACTCTCCTTTACAGTTCTACAGCTACATCCGTCTCCACATCGTAATTTCAACATCCTCGCCAGTCCTAACATCCATCCTTTCACCATCACTCTCTACGCATTCTAATCTCACGTATACTCTATTCACTTCTGGTCGCTTCTTTAGCAAAATCTAACAGATGCTTTATCGTCAACCGGCATAGTGACCTCATCCTCTCAACATCAACTTCGTCGGCCGACCTTTCCATGTATGTTGAATCCATGACTCCTATGAGAGTGAGTCTTCTCAGCGTCGGTCTAAGCACCGCGGCTTTCAGAGTATAAAACGTCTCGGGAACACTCTGGAAAGTGATAATAATAATAATAATAATAATAATAATAATAATAATAATAATAATAATAATAATAATGATAATGATAATGATAATAATAATAATAATAATAATAATAATAATAATAATAATAATAATAATAGATAGATAGATAGATAGATAGCATTTGTATAGCGCATATCCCCGCTCAACAGCAGGCTCTATGCGCTTTACACTATATTATTACCCCAGCAGACCATAGAACACTCCAAAACATTCTCAGCTTCCCGGGAAGCATACAGTGCGAGCAGCCAATTAAGCGCTCAAACACTAACAAACTAAGTGATCTCAGAAATTCGCTTGTAAATTGAAAAGTGTTCAAGCAACTCAACTTCTGAGAGCAAGAAACCATTCCAAAGTGGTATCTGAATACTTTTTAAAAGTTTGAAAGTGAAAAACGAAAAAGCAAACTTTTAGTTACACGCAAAAGTACGTGAATCCAGGGTGGCGGGCGGCGGCGTGAAAGGTTGTGAAATAGCTTGCGCCAAAGAGGAGCGCAACGCACAGAGATGGTAGGAAAAACTGGGCGCCAACGTGGAGCGCCGTGACACGAAAAGGTTTTTAAATGATAGGTAGGCTTTTGTGTAAACTTTTCCTCGATAGACATCTTGACTTTGCTTGAGGAAGGCTAATAATAAAGAGAGAAAGCACACCAATAACACATTGGTGGTTCAAAACAAGCTCACCTATAACTACGAGTATTTGTGGTTTATAGCAAGCACACAAATAACTATTTGCAGTTCATAGCAAGCACACCAAACTGGATCAATGTACAGTGGTGGGGCTATTACGTTAACTCACTGAATGCTCAATAGTAAAAACACGTAAAACGATAGGTCAAATTTTAGGGATTTCGCGTACTCACTAAAAATTTCAGTGATTACGTGAAACCCCTGAGTGAAACAGGGATTACGTGTATTCGCTAAAATATTCAGTGAATACGCGTATTCATTCACTAGGTACGTATTCTTACTGTAACATATATACATACATATCATAAATAGATAGATCGATAGATCGATAGATCGATAGATAGATAGATATATAGATAGATAGATAGATAGATATATAGATAGATAGATAGATAGATAGATAGATAGACAAACAGACAGAAAGATAGATAGATAGATAGATAGATAGATAGATAGATAGATAGATAGATAGATAGATAGGTAGGTATAGGCAACTTTTTACACACAGATCCACTGGTTTGAGGGCTAAACTGCCATAATTTTTTAGCAGAACCCATGTGTATGCCACTAAAACCCTAGCAAATCATTTGTTTTCAAGTAAATTTCCATCCTAATTACCAAAACATCAAGCCCCCTGATCTTCAAACCCTCCATGTTGTTAAAAACAAGTCAAATATTATTACGCCACTGGTCCTAGTTCTGTTTTCAAACTTCAATAACTCAATAACTATTGATTTGCGTAAAAAAAATGAAGGCCATATTCGTGTTCAGCATGCAAAATACTACTAGAAATAAAATATATAAAACGTTTACATGAATAACGGGTGCTTGAGTAAAAAAAAAAGTAGATAGATAGATAGATACATGGATAAATCTATAGTACATAGATAGAGGCCCCTTATAGATAGATAGAAGGAGATTTGTATCTCTTCAATAAACGTGTACCGTATTAAAGTATAACAATGATAATAATAATTATGATTTATAAAATGATAATGCTTATAGTAATAATATAAAATAATGATAATAATAATAATAGTAATAATAATATAATAATCAATAATAGTGATAATAATAATAATAATAATAATAATAATAATAATAATAATAATAATAATAATAATAAAATAATAATAATAATAATAATAATAATAATAATAATAACTTAATCGAATACAACACTGTTAAAAGCTGGCAGGCCTATATACTATACTGCTGAAACTGTTTTAATGTTTTCTACACTTGTTTGATCCTCCAAAACAGAAAATAGACGCATTATCGGCCTCTCTATGGCTATTATACCATGCTTGAACGTATTGTATTGTATTGTGCAGAATCAAATTTGGAACATGAAGCCAGTTTGACTTTTCCTCTTCATGGAAATGTTTATTCGTTTATCGAAGTAAATCTAATTGTGTGTAGATCTACATGTTAGTGTAGCGTCATTATTGACATTGTCACATTGGCTGACATTTCCTACACTGAACTGGCTACTCTAGCATAACTAGATATCTAGATCTAGAAATCTAGATCTATACTCTAGATTCTAGATTAGATCTAGATCTAGACTCTAGATCTAAATCTAATAAACAAATGGACGCCAACTGTGAGGAAGACACAACAATAACAATGTACAGACTTAACTCTGGAAATGATAATGACCCTGTATGTGTGAAAACGTGTGATTTATTTGCCCCTCGTTCTTCTGGAGAAGTTATGAATCTTTGGATTGATAGAATCTAGTAATGTTTTGCCTAGTTGTTAAAGATGAACCTATGTCTAGTTCTGGGACTAGATCTAGATCCAGATCTAGTATCGATACTCTTTGTCTTAGTACTTTAAAAGAAGATGTAAAACATGACATTATAGGAAGGGAAGGTGAATCTCTGGGTGTTGATGAGGAACATCATTTGTCAGTAAAAGAAGAGCCCAGGTTTGAATGGCCGTGTGACGTCAAGGCCGAGACAAATGACAAACTGAACGTTGAAAGTGAAAGTACCCTGACTCTCAGACACAGTGTAGTAAAAGATGATCCTATCTGTACTGAGGAGGAAGACGTGACAACTGTCGTTAAACCAGAGTGCCTCACAGATATATGTACGGTGAAAACTGAACCACTATTTGGACATTTTCTTGACTTTGGTGATGAAGTGAAACCAAAAGTGGAGAATTTTGTGAAAGAAGAAGTGTCAGAATGGGAAGGTCCCGACATTGGAGAGGTAGGCAAGACAGAAGTACAAGTGGGAGATGTGGAGGATACGTGTGCTGAGCCCGTGTTTGTTGAGGATCACATGAGTCAGACTGGAGGACTACTGCTGCAAATCTCCAATGTGAGGAGCTTGTGTATGGAGCAGAGTGACAGCCCTGACATTGATGTTGTTGCTTCCAGTAGTCCAACTTCAACTTTCTCTCCTGATCCAGTCACAAGTTCTGGATCTGTTGTCAGGGCCAGCTGGGATCACGGTGAGAGTTCTGGTACATAAAACTGTCCCCGTGGTTTTCTGCACCCCACATTATAATTTAGCAAAGTTTGATCATTTTTTGCACAATTTCTGATTATTTTCCGTTATCATTCTTTGTTAAAATTAACAGAATCGCATAATTTCACATTTTGGGCTCAGTTTGCATAATTTCAGAATTTTTCTTGCATAAAACGACGGGGACAGGTAGAATCTTTCTGTGTTGACTGGACTTTTCTATCTGATGTGTTTTGCATTTCTTGAGCACTAAATGATTTAGTGCTCAAGAAATGCAAAACACATGACCATTTTTATGTCGATGTTAGAGCTGTACCCTGGTAGCAAACCCGCTCGTGCTCGCAAGCCCCTAGTTCAAGTCACAAGTCTCAAATCATGAGGTCAAATCATCAAATCAAATCGCCAGCATGAAAAGTTGAGTCTATTCTAAGCTTCAAGTCCACACCAACTAGCAATCTGCAAAGCCACTCGTGTCAGACCCCCTCATCCTCCCATCCTGCTTGCTATCCGCGAAGCAACTTACATCAGAAAGAGAGAGAGGGGGAGAGAGAGAGACCCCGCTCACAGTGTCACTGCGTGGTAGAACTGTGGAGTCTGCTCGATTAATCGAAGACTTGTGAGCAGCGGATGGCCGTCAAGTCTCAAATCCCGTTCTCGCAGCACAAGACACTTGAGTCCTATGATTTGATTTGTCTGCTCGCAAAATAGCAAGCCACTTTCAAAACAGCGAGCGGCAAGACCGCTCACAGTGTGAACTCTGAACCGTGGAGGAAGGGAGAGGCTGCGCTTGTTTTGGTGCAAGATGTAGAGAGCCGAAGCTATTTAAATTAACTTCGCGCCCTTGATCAGCTGAGCGAGTAGATAAAGAAAGAGAAAGCGTGGTATTGTAGTAACTACATTGCTAGGTCTCTGGTAGTAATAAGTAGACTTCTCTCACGGCGTCACTTTTCGCCCGATACTGTTAGGCTGGTCCCAGAGTGGCTCTGTAGGTCTGCCCTGTAGCTCGCCTGGCTTGCACCGTGCAAATGAATGTATACATTATCATGTGCTAAAGCAGCGTCGCTGTGTCGTCTGCTTTTTGTCAGCTGAGCTGCGCGATGCGTCAGACGTGCTATTCAACAGTGTTGTAAAAATAGCGGACATGTGGAGCCTCGCTTCGTGTCTATTTTCGACTGAAACTTTTCCCAGATCATCAAAATCAACAAGTAGTAAGTATTGTTAGGTGCTTCACTGTTAAATATTGATGCTAGCATCAACACTTGGCCACAAAATCACCCAGAAATGCACTTTATCATACTTTGAAACTTCGAATCGAGAGGCTGACCTAGTTTCGACTGTTGTCATAAGCCTAGGCCTAGATCTAGGTGTGCTTCTCTAGATTCTAGCCTTGCATTGTAACCAATGTAAACTGTCGCGGCGCGCAGCTGCAAGTGTGTTTGTGTGTGTGCACTTGGCACATGACGTAAAGAAGAGTTGTCCCGTCTTGGTATAATAAATTGGTCTTGGATTACACAATACCTAAATATAGCAAGGCAGACCCGCCAGTTGCACATCTACACACGTCTACACAGTGCTGCTGTGCTGAGACGCAGCGAGTGTGCCTCGTGCTCGCTGAGACACAGGCGCCAACCCCCAGTGCGGCTGTGCTGACACGCACACGATGTGCGCCAGGCCAGCTACAGGTCAGACCTACAGAGCCACTCTGGGATCGGCCTTTAGTTAGCCTGACTCAGCAGCCCGCCGGAGCTCCCCGGCTCGGGGTCACAGGGTTAATATGTCCTGAAGCGACTTTGCCGGTGTCGGTTAGGAAGTTCGCCTTTTTTACTATGTTTAAAGTGATATAACTTCTCCCCCATCCCACTCAGCAAACCATTACGCGGATGTACTAAAAGCTCAATGTCTTGAGATTTATTCTGCGTTAGAATGGTTAATTTCTGTGCCTTAGTTTTTGTTCTAGACAAGTGTTTGTAGAGTACCCAATTTGTCCTATTTTAGTTACAAATAAATGATTGTTAATTTAAAAATCGCTAGACAGATCTCTCCAAAATCTTTTTTAAACTGACTACGAATAACATGTCTTTCACCATGGGAAATCTCAAATCTGCGCAAGTAGTAATAGTCAAGTTATAAGAGAAGAAAGATGCACATTTGTATTTTTTAACTAAAGATGATCAGCGCTAGCTCTTATTTTACTATTAAACAAGTTACTCTACTCTGCGTTTGTTCATGAATCATGCTGTGTCTGTGGCAGCCTGCATACCACTAAAAAGATATAATATAAACGATTTTTTAAAAACCCACAAAACCGTGTAAATACATGGGTAGAGATAGAGTGACACATTCATTCTTAGTTTTTGTGTCGGAAATATGTGCGGACACAATTATGAATGTAAAGAAATCAGTCACTTTGTCAGTTATTGCAAATGGTAACGAAAAATAAAGCTGGAATGTCTGGTGCTGATTCAGTGTCCCTGGAAAGCTAGAAATTATTCTTATAACCCAATTACGAGAAGTCATCCCTATTATTCAGTCAACTTACAAAACCTAGACTTAGCGTTTTAAGAAAAGTAAGGAATTTCTGAAGTGTAACAGATACTGTTCGTCTATTACATTGAAGATGTATTCTGGCTCTAAAATCGATTTGTACTTTTCATGGTAACTTTTATAAACTTTCGTGAAAATATTATGCGAATATTCACGCTTATATTAGACACAAAACGTTGTATTTGGAGGAATTACTTCATAGCGAATTGTGTGCCAGATGGATAAAGTTTCAAAATTACAGCTTTTTGTTATATGCGCAGATACCATCTTTTCTGAATATTTGCACCAATGCTATGTCCTTCATGTTCCAAAAGTTGGACAGATTTTGTGGAGGCCTTTTTTTTATATTGATTTTTTTTCATTCACGCTAGTCTTAAAAAAATTACAATTTAGCATTGCCGACGCCAGCGCGTCTAACGAAATAACCAGACAAGTTACAATGTCGGTTGTTTTTTTTTTAGTCTCAAAAGCTAAAATGCCTGCTTTGGGTGCACTAAATGAGAATTGCCATAAATACAAGGATACACCTAAAAGTGTACGTTGAAAAGTACCAAAAATTAAGCCGGCCCAGACAGAGCGGCGGCAGGGAGCTGACCTCCGTGACCCCGACGTGATGAGGCGCCCGGCGGGGAACCCCCCGCTGTAAATAAAATTCCACTGCCGGTGCGCCGTGCTCTTAGAATGGAAAATTCCAGGAGTCGTTGTGATTGGCTTTTGTATCGTATGTATGTAGCCTATTTAGTAGCCTACATATGTAGATGTTTTACACTCCCAATTACATAATACAGAACATTTAGGAGACAGGCTAGGCCTACTTCAACCCAATGTCAGGGCCAAACTTGGGCTGAGAGGGAACAACGCCCCAGCAGAATCAGAAAGACAGGGGTTCTCAGTAAAAATTTCTCCCCATACGGGAATCAAACTGAGGTCTTTTTCGTGCGATGACGAAGTGCTTGGCCGGTGCACATTTTTAAGAAATGGTCTGTGCATCGTAAGAATAGCCGCTCCGTCAGTAATTTTTAAGTGCATTGAATAGAGCCTTTTCTTTTTTACAACCCGACTATGGAAAAAAACAACAAAAAAACAGTCTTGCACTTTTGGTGCAAGCCTCTCAACGCAAATGGCAAATAAGCAGAATCTTCCGTAATATGTACTTCTTCCAGATGTTTTATCTTACTGTCAGGTTTAGATAACTTGTCCATTATTTTTCTTCTTCCAGATGTTTCATCTTACCAGCAGGGTTAGATATTTAGTCCATCATTTTTTTTGGTCTTCTTCCTGATGTTTCATCTTACTGTTTCGGTTAGATATATAGATCTAATTTGTCCATTATTTGTCTTTTCCAGGAAAACGTCTTAACGGCAAAAGTCATATGTCTTGTGATAGTAAACAGTCCATGGGTCAAGGTCCCGATTTCAACCATTCTTGTGCTCTGTCTTTTGCCAGTTGTATAAATTCTACGGAATCTTCTAGTACCACACCCCCAAAACTGTACAAAGAGATGGGCGCTGGTTGCCAAGATGTGCCAAGGTTTCTGCTCAGGGAAAGTAGATACTCTGGAGAAAAACCTCACAAGTGTAATGTCTGTCTTGAAATGTTAACAGAACTAGGTAATCTACAGAAACACAAAAGAACACACACAAGAGATAGGCCTTACAAGTGTGAAGTTTGTGGTGCCACATTTACACAGAGCAAACATCTACAGAGACACAAAAGAACACACACAAGAGAAAAGCCTTTCACGTGTGAAGTTTGTGGTGCCACATTTACACGTGGCAGAAATCTACAGACACACAAAAGAACACACACAGGAGAAAAACATTACATGTGTGAAGTTTGTGGTGCCACATTTACACAGGGTAGCACTCTACGACGTCACAAAAGAATACACACAGGAGAAAAACCTTACAAGTGTGAAGTTTGTGGTGTTACGTTTACACAAGGTAGCAGTCTACAGCGTCACAAAAGAATACACACAAGAGAAAAACCTTACAAGTGTGAAGTTTGCTGTGCCACGTTTACATACCGTTGCAATCTAGAAAGTCACAAAAGAATACATACAGGAGAAAAACCTTACAAGTGTGAAGTTTGTGGTGCCACGTTTACACAGGGTAGCAGTCTACAGAGTCACAAGAGAACACACACAAGAGAAAAACCTTACAAGTGTGAAGTTTGTGGTGCCACGTTTACACAGGGTAGCAGTCTACAGCGTCACATGAGAGTACACACAGGAGAAAAACCTTTCAAGTGTGAAGTTTGTGGTTCCACGTTTATACAGAATAGCCAACTACAGAGTCACAAAAGAATACACACTATAGAAAAGCCTGACAAGTATGTGTGAAGAAGAAGAAGAAGAAGAAGAAGAAGGTTTATACAGAATAATAGCCAACTACAGAGTCACAAAAGAATACACACTAGAGAAAAGCCTGACAAGTATGTGTGACATTTGCGGTGCCACGTTTGCACATAACGGAAATCTACAAAATCACAAAAGAATATTGTTTGTCCTTAGCCTTTGAAGAAGATTATGACTTCACGAATTGGTCTGTTAATGGTGACTGTGGGCTCGGAGATGGCTGACAAGGCCTAACTGGGCTCGGAAGTTTCCCCCGCAGTGTGGGCGCGGGTAGTCTGGCGTTGGAATTGTGATGGAGGCCGGTTTGAACTTGCACACGTTGCGTTTTCTTGTAGCTTCGGCGATGCGTTTGGCCTCTGCTGCTTTGGCTCCCTTTGTTAGTTTGCAGCGCCAAGCGGGGTGATCTAGAGCCAGTGTTTCCCAAGAGTCATTCAGGATTCCTAGGTCTTTTAGTGAGACTTTGAGGCAGTGTTTAAAACCTTTTTCCCTCCAACTGAGGGATTGCCATGAAACAGTTCTTCATACATCAGCTGTTTAGGCATCTGGCTGTCCACCATTCTGACCACGTGGCCGGCCCATCTGGCTTGTGTTTTCTGGGGGGAGGATGTAGATCCTAGGGATTCCGGCCCACTCAAGAAGGTCCATGTCTGGGGCTTTGTCCTGCCGCCTGATGTGGAGGATTTTACGGAGACAGATCAGGTGGTTTCAATTGAGTTGCTTGGCGTGTCTGCTGTAAACAGTCGATGTCTCGCTGGCGTAAAGAAGGGTGATAAGAACCACTGCTAGGTACACCTTCAGCTTTGTGGAGAGCCTGAGTTTTCTGCGCTCCCAGACATTCTGGCTGAGTCTTCTGAATGCGGTGCAGGCCCTGGCAACTCTGTTATTAATTCCAACATCCGCATGGCAGAAAATACCGTACTGAAGAGAGTTGGGACAATGATGCACCCCTGTTTGACGTTGGTCACCCATTGGTCCCAGGGAAGGTGTCCGACTCGTCTCCGTCTTCTAGCACCTTCACCATTACACCATCGTGAAACTGTCTGACAATGGTGATGAACTTACTTGGGCATCTGAACTTCTCCGTGATCCGCCTCAGTCCTTCTCTGCTGACTGTGTCGAAGACCTTAGTTAAATCCATAAATATATAAAGGTCACAAATAAGTCGAAGTGTTGCTCCTGGTATTTTTCCTGGAATAGGCGGGCAGCGAAGATCATGTCTGTAGTTCCCCATTTGGCCCGGAAACCGCACTGAGTCTCTGGGAGGAGTCCCTGTTCAAGATGGTGTGTGCGTGAGTGTATGTGTGTTTGTCATTTTGTGTTGGGTTTTTTTTGTTTGTTTGTTGTTGTTTTTGGTAAGTGTTCTATTGTGCTCGCAACTGCATAAGGTCAAATGAGTGCGGGACACATTAAACCTTTTCAGTTGGTAGCACATTTTGAATTTTGCCCGGGTAACGGCCGAAGCCTACTCTTAGGGATCTTTAACATGAGCAACTTGCAAGCATGCCCTCAGAGATTTTTTACCCATGTCCGAGAAGGCTAGGTGTAGATCTTTCCTACCAGAAGATCAGGGGTGCGGCTGAAAGTAAGACAGCAGTAAAAAGGAGCCAAGGAGTAGCAGTAGAAAGGCTGCAGAAAGAGTCAGGAGCCCAGAGGAGGAGGCAAAGAGGTGAAGGGGGGGGGACAGAAAGAGGAGACGAAAGCAGACGACAGAACATTGTTATAGAGCATGACAAGAGATGAAAGGAGACAATTTTAGAGAAGAAAATTTTTCAGTCGCCAGATCTACCCGGATTCGAACCCGGAACCTTTGAATTTGAATGAGAAGCCTTAACCTCTAGGCCTCGAGAGCCCCCTTCATTTTGTGTGTGTGTGTGTGTGTGTGTGTGTGTGTGTGTTTGAGTTTGTCAATTTGTTTCTGTGTGTGTAGGTGTGTGTGCGTGTATGTGTGTGCATGTTATGAAAACAGTCTTATTTAATGTAAAGTGTTTTATTTTTATGAGAATGCCAGATCAATAATATATAAACTTTTAGTTTTAGAGCCCAAGTATAAGTTGTCGTCATTGTTTTGACCAAGTCATTACATATAAACTGAGAAAGACTTTTTATTGTAAATAAACTTTGAAAAATTGAGGTGTAAATTTGCCTCATTATTGGAAAGTATTTTATGTGAAGGACTTTTTAGTATGTTAATTTTTGGGTCCAAACTGAAGTATGTCATCTTTGTTATGATCCGATGCATTACGTCATAAGGCTTTATGAAAAACCTTAAGCTAAGTCATAACATTCTCTATGTTCTTAATTGTCAAAGTCAAAGAAAGTTTCCACAGTTGGTAGTTTACTTATATATTAATGTTACTTCTGATATGTTCATTCAGAAACAATTTCATCAGTTAGATTTTTATATGTTTTGCCTGTATTCTTTCTGGAGGAGGGGGGGGGGTTAAGTTGTCTTCTATGTTTTACAATAAAACCTCAGCTTAGCTGAGAAGTGGTCTAAGTTATTTTAGTAGCCTATCAGTTATTGTTGTTACGAACAAATTTTCTGCTATTGTGATGTAATGCAGCATAGCACCAAGACTATTGCATCTATGGTTATCCGGGACTGCCCTTAGCTGGTTTTCTTCTTACCTGTCAAATCGTTACCAATCTGTCTTTATTAAAGGGCTTAAGTCATCAGATCATGCTCTTAAGTATGGGGTCCCCCAAGGCTCAGTCCTCGGTCCAGTTTTGTTCACCATTTATACTCAACCACTTGTCAAGGAAATAGTTAAATATGACTTAAAATACCATTTCTATGCTGATGATACCCAAATTTATGGTTCAACATTGTTTACCAACTTAGATGAACGTGTCCATCGTGCTGAAAATTGTATTGCCTTAGTGAAAAACTGGATGAACAAAAATAAATTCATGTTAAATGATAATAAAATAGAAGTCATTCTGGCAGGCAATGCAAAGTCTGTTAAAGAGGTTGACCATGATCACATTACAATTGGTGATGCAAAAATTTTATTTTCAAGAAAAGTTAAGAATCTTGGCATTCATTTTGATTCTAGTTTGTCAATGTCGGCTGAGGTAAATCATCTGATCAGCTGCATGTATTTAGAAGTAAGAAAAATTAGTAAAATACGTCATCTGATCAATACCAAGTTTAATGGATGTAGATCTAGATCTAATACTAATAGTTTTCTTTCACATCAGCAGTCATGCAAGCATAACAGTTCAGATTCGTTTTCAAAGGGTAAAGTTTATTAAGAGAAAATTGAGCAACACGCTCTCAACAAAACCATGAGTTTCAACCTGTGTTGTCAGCCGTTAGATCTTTTCACAACAAAACAAAGAGTAACATCCGCTGCCGGTCACATTCCGGTGGCCAGACTTCACTGCCGACTAATGCTAATCCAAAATGCCTGATAGGCTTAAATCTATCTTTAACATACTCCCCACCTTGGATTAGCTCCCCTGACAATCCAAAAATTCAACAATCCAATTACTGGTAACTAATGTAGCTTCAATCAGTACTCCAATTCAATATCAAACATGCACAGCTCAAATTACCGCAAGAGAAAAAAAGGGAATAAATTCTCATAACCATAACCGTTTTAGGTTCATCAATCTAAGAATATTCATGTAATACTCAAATACATCTCTGTCTCAGACCAACATTCTGGACTGGTTTTACATCAATATCAATAAGCCGCATTATCAATCTCAGAAGTCCCAAGTCTAGGAATGTACATGTAGCTTCCCATTAAATCCAAGTGCTGTCCATAACCAACTTCTATTTATCAAGCGTACTGCCCACTCCTCCAAAGTCATCATGCTAATACTAAACAGACTTCTACTGTCAAATAATCATAAGTCATTCATACGCTGTATCATTACTCAACAATTACAAATCATATCCAATTTCTATCAAGTAGGCAAACCTTGCTACTATCTATCAGGAATCAATCTATAGAAATCATACAGTCATGTATCAGTGTCATACACGAATCAAACAAAGTGTGTCAAATGACCTCCATCAGAAAGTACCATGGCTCAAGTACCAAAATAATTCTTCTGAGCATATTACTACACATCATCAAGATCAATAAAACTAAATTTCAAAGGATAGAATATTGTTCTTGTCCTGTAAACAAAACATAAACATCCATCTGAATGTACCGGTAATAAAAGGAACAATGTAAAGCACCCATAGAAATTGAACAAAATCAATGAGTAAATCCTTCCAATTCTCAAGTTAAATCAAACCAAGTCACTAACAATATTTATGTTATGTTGACCAAATGTGAATTCAGATTTACAGTTAACATAAAGTCATTGTAATAATAGTGTAACGTGTCACAATCCCTGGTGCAGTTTAAATAGCCACAGTCTTACAAGTCAAGAATTGCCCTTCTTTTGATCATCCTCCCTGAGGAAGACACAGTCTCCCTTGAATTCTCAGACCCGTCGTCAGTGACAGTGGTTTCCCCAGACGCCCCTGGGTCTGAATCCCCTTGAAGAGGACCCTGCAATTCCCCTCCTTCATTATCTTGTTCTTCAAAAATCTCTAGCTTGTGAAGTTTCCGAATGGGTGTGCTAATTTTCCCTTTACCTGTTTTTAACTCCACTGCTCGGACAAACCCATCTCTTCCAGGGTACAACTTTGTGACAACAGCTAAAGGCCATTGTAACCTAGGCCTGCCTTCCTCTCTGATGAGAGCTAGTGAGCCATTCTTCATCTCTTCATTGGGCTTCCTCAGTCTCATCGGTGGCAAACATCTTATGTATTCATTCTGCCACACTCTCCAAAATTGTTCAATTGCATTTTGCTGTACTTGCTCTCTCCTCTGGAAGTCTGCAAAGTCTCTGCAGTATAGTCTGTGATCTCTGCTGAAACCATGGGTGTCCCTCTGCCAATGACGAAATGAGACGGTGTCAAAGGATTCTTCATTTCAGCTGCATACGTGAGAGGTCGAGAGTTGATACAAGCCTCTACTTCATGTTTGAGAGTCTTCAGGTGCGTCCTTGTCACTGATCTCTTTCCAATTGTTCTTCCGAAGTCCAGATTTAGTCGATCGGATGAGACGCTCCCACCAACCTCCCCACCATGGCGCAAGGGGGGCATTGAATTTCCATGTGAT